ATGTAAATCCAGGTCAGCACCGGAGACACGGAATTGGGGTGACAACCAGGGAACTGGTATTTTTCTGAATGTCAACTTTCATCTGTTCTATTATCTTTCCTATTCGGCAGGTTCTATTTTTCTTGTTATGGCCGCACGCTGGGGGGAATTTATCAAAAACATGGATCCGCTGTGCGTGGCAACCAATCAGCATCCACCTTTCATTTTCAAAGCTAAACTGGAGAGAAGCTGATTGGTTGCCATGGGTAACGGCTCGAGTATTGATAAATCTCTCCTCCATCTGCTGCAGTAATTGATTTCTGCCACTAGGTGTCCTCAGCCTTCCAGAGGGAATGATGCCCAGCGTCCAATCTGAGGCTCTGTTCACACCTAGGTGTATCGAATATGCGCGTTTCTACCGCGGTAAAAAAAAAACGTGCGTTTCCGAGGGCTACTTGGCTGTATCCCAATGGAAACACGCGATAAAACCGCTGCAAAGAAGCTCATGTACCTTTTCAGGCGTAGGCCGTTTTGTAGTGCGTTCAGACAGGCTGAAATACGGCAAGGTGTGAACCATATCCATAGAAAACAATGGGATTTTCATGTTTGAGCGTTGAACGCGCTACAAAAGGTACAGGTGTGAACCAGGCCTGAGGTTGTGCAGGGCATTGTGGACCTGAGGGGGTGTCGCTGCAGTGGCCCTTAGGTTATGGTCACATGGGTGGTATAAATAGGCGGTTGAGCCAGCCATCGTCCTACATACTGACATGGAGTCCCCTCAGGACCATCCACATGGCTGAGAGGCAACCATTTTAACTCGGCATGACAAATGTGCATATTTAAAGTCACAGGGACTGCGCCATGACCTCACGCCGACCACTCGGCACACTCAGGTAGTGCAGAATTTCAATGTAAGATCCCCATTGGGGTGCTAAAAAACAAAGCGGACGGTATCGCCGTCTGAATACCTGCGAACTGCCGATCCGCCGCCATGTGTCAGGCCACACTTGCATGCAGGGATTGGCACTGATGGTCTGCACATCCAGTGCTTGGGAAGCTGACCTTGCAGGTCATGTGACTGCCCAGAAGACATCTAGAAGAGAAGGAAGCAGACCTTGCAGGTCATGTGACTGCCCAGAAGACATCTAGAAGAGAAGGAAGCAGACCTTGCCTGTCATGTGACTGCCCAGAAGACATCTAGAAGAGAAGGAAGCAGACCTTGCCTGTCATGCATCTAGAAGAGAAGGAAGCAGACCTTGCAGGTCATGTGACTGCCCAGAAGACATCTAGAAGAGAAGGAAGCAGACCTTGCCAGTCATGTGACTGCCCAGAAGACATCTAGAAGAGAAGGAAGCAGACCTTGCCAGTCATGTGACCTGCCAGAAGACATCTAGAAGAGAAGGAAGCAGACCTTGCAGGTCATGTGACTGCCCAGAAGACATCTAGAAGAGAAGGAGGCAGACCTTGCAGGTCATGTGACCTACCAGAAGACACATAGAAGAGGGAAATATATATATATTGTAAAAGGGGGAAAAAATTCTGGGGGGTCCAATCCAGAGTTGGGCATTGACTTTTGGGAGTAGTCACTATAACAGGGGTAGGCATCCTCAGAACTCCAGCTGTTGCGGAACTACAAGTCCTATGAGGCATTGCAAGACTGACAGCCACAGGCATGTTGGGATTTGTAGTTTTAGCACAGCTGGATTTACACTAAAGTGGAAATCCCA